GGAGAAGTTCAAGTACCTCGGAATTGTATTTACTAGTGATGGAAAATTGGAGGAAGAAATCGACCGGCGATTTAGAATAGACAGTGGCGTTCTGCGTGAACTAGCATGACCAAATCGTGAACCCATGACTAAATCAGAGTTCAGTACGAAAACTTAGCTCTAGATATTCAAGTCGATCTTTATCCTCAGGTTTACCTACGGTCATGAATCGAGGATTAATGCTGAAAAACTTCGAACCCGAGTACAAGCTGCTGAAATGGGCTTTCTTAGACGAGTCGCTGGCCTTACGTGTCTCGACATGGTCCGGAATACTGACATCCGGAAGAGCCTTGGAATGCAACCTCTGTTCTCCAGATTGAGAAGTCACAGCTGCGATGGCTTGGGCATGTGTTGTGAATGCCTCCAGAAAGGAAGGCTAAGCAACTGATCCATGGAAATCTGACCGGCAGAAGGCCCCGTGGGCAATCTGGCCAAAATTAACTTAGTGCAAATATATGGAATGAGTCTATTCCAGACTCCAGTTGTGATCTACCGAAGTTCAGACTCTGGCAGAGGATCAGAAACATTGAAAGTGCTGCGTAACGCGTCTGCCTCCGTCCGTGACTGGAAACGAGAAGCTGCAGTGGAAAATAAATGAATCAACGAAAGAGAAAGCAGGCAGGCTCCACAGTCTACTTTCTTTTAGAAAAGCTGTTAATTACGTAGTTAGCATATATGCTTAAAATCTACTGTGATGGGTGTGTTTGTCTTTGAATCATGCGTTTTAGTTGGCACAAGGCGTGGAAGATTTGCACTGTGATTGGAAGCTCTGAATCGTGGTTGACACTGAGCCACGCTGCCCTAGAGCACCTGAATCTTGACTTTGGTATGACTAATAAATTGATAGTCGAATCGCGAACGACGTCTATGATTTTAGCCATGAAAGTGTACAGAGAAATGAAAAACGTTTCGATGGTTTGGTACCTGACTGAAATCAAAGAGTATGAAGACCGCAATTTGTTGGCCGGATGTATTGCTATTATACTTGGCCAGTACGATATGGCAGAAAAGTATTTTCTGGAATCCAGTTCGCCTGAACGAGCCCTTGAGGTAAGTGCCTGTAATGTTGAAAAATTTCATACTGAACAGCCTAGAAGTTGTGCCACTTAAAATATATTGCAGATGAGGCGTGAACTTCTACAGTGGGAAAAGGCACTCCAGTTAGCAAAGCAGATAGCTCCGGATATGATACCATTCGTTGCCAAAGAATGCGCTCAGGACTGCGAATTTTCGTAAGGAAATGAAATGAAATTTTTTAAATGTGGTTTCAAACAAGACTAAAATTTAGAGGCGATTATCATAGAGCTTTGGAGTATTATGAAAGCGCTGTCTTAAACACGGAAAAGGTATGGTAATGCTATCGTCTCCGTCTAAGGCTAATAAGGCTTTAATGGAGAAGTAGCGCAGGTTGGTACTATGTTACCATTTTAGATTTGTTTCTGGTAAATACTGGGCAACATTTGCTGAGGTCGTTTTCTTGTTTAAATGCTAGTTTATTCCAGTGAGGTATTTACCTGCCTAATTGTGTTTTTTGAAGGCCATTTTAGTCAAGAGAAAGAAATTTTGAACGCAGCTAAGGAAAACTGTCTTCACGTACATGAAAACAAGCGAATATGATTCACAATATATGATGAGCGGAGTCACTGATCTGAACTGGGTTTCAAACTTTGGAAAAGTTTGTCTGAATCCAAAGAAGAAGATTCCTTTGAGCAAGCAGTTATTTTAAATCTCACCATGCTACGGGTCAACGTGCCGAGAAACAGACAGGAAGTCAATGACTCGCAAACAACTTGGATGTAATAGTGCTCTGGCGTGATCATACTAGAATGGGCAAAAAGTGAGGTTCATTTGCTAGCGAGCGGTTCCCCCGCGCAACTTGCCAGACAACTTGGAACCACGAAATTCATTATTCCAAAGATCGAAACTGAGAAACACAGTAAGGTCTGTGTTTCATGTTTGAAAGATCCTTTCTTTTCTAGCGAAGGTAAGTTAGAAAATTGAGTAATTCGTTGGTGCTTTGGTGGTCATATTGAAATAATAACGTAAAATACGTACACAGCGCGAAAGACACTATGTATATGGGCTTATTCCGGGCCTTCATTAAAGTAGGCTGGTAGCTTCTCGATAATTCCAGTCCAAAATCGGGATTCGAACCGAAACTTCGGTATTGGTCAAAACACCGGACTGACCACAGTATCTTTTGCGTTGTGCATAAGTAAACCGTGTTTTACGCTATTTTTTCGGATGTCCTCTACACGGCCCATTGGTACTAACTCAATGTACTATCAGCAACGGAAGCTCGCCTCTCAATAAGGGGATGTTTAGCATTTATGGTGGGTGATCATTTTGGAGGTCTAGCAACAATAGATTACGCCATGGAGGTGTGACAATACCCTTATTTCTAAGGGTAATCTGGGCGGTCATTTCTGTGAAGTCGATTCGATGTCAGAAAGAATCCTGGTAGGCCGCTTGAGTGCCAAACACGAGATGCTGAATGCCGTTGTGACCTATGCCCCAACAAACGTCTCATAACAGTAAAAAAGAGGTTTCCTATGACTGCTTGCAGTCGACTGTTAGCAGTTTGTCGAGGCACAGAACACAGTTGTCAGCGGCGACTGTGGAAGTTGGGTACAACCCATAGTCAGGCGAAACCGGCAGTCACGGTAGTGACAGCGCGAAAGACAGCGGCCGGCGTCTGTTAAGCTTTTTGGCAACATATAGCATTATCATAGCGTAGGTGAGACCCTATTCCCTGAGAAGCGAGTACACAAAACCACCTGCACGCTCCCGTCCCCCTCACTGGATTCATA